GAAGGAGAAAGGTTTGTGGTGTAGCCATCACCCTTGGATGTTTTCTCACTTTTCCTCTCACTGTCTCTCCAGCGAGTACATCAGCACCAGGGCAGAAACCTTAAAAAAAAAAAAAAAGAGGAAGAGGAAGAGGAAGAGGAAGAGGAAGAGGAAGAAGAAGAAGAAGAAGAAGAAGAAGAAGAAGAAGAAGAAGAAGAGTAGGAGGAAGAAGAAGGGGCCAGCAGATGGCCTGTTGGTTATGTTGCTGGACTCCCAGGTGCCTGATCATGGTTTGAGTCCCAGACATGGTGGCTTAAAAGTCACTCTGGGCATGTGTGAGTACATGCCCAATATCCCAGGAGGAGAATAGAGGAGAAGGGATTGCAGCATGGCCATCTGATCTCTCACTTTCCTTCTCTGTCTACCTCTAGTGAGTGTATGAACACTATAACAAAAATCTAAAAATAGTGAAAAAAGATAAAAATGTTTCTTTGTGGGTTTTTTTAGAATTATTTTTTAACTTTATTTTATTTTTTAATTTTTTTTTATTTGACCAGAGAGGGACAGAGTGAGTGAGAGAGAGAGAGAGAGAGAGAGAGAGAGTGAGAGAGCACAAGCTGCCAGGTCCAGGACTTGAACCATGGCTGGCCATGTGGGAGGCCCACACCCTTAACCACCACGCCACTTGGCCCTGTTTCTATGTTCAGGAAGGAAAAGAGAATAAAAACAATCATGCACTTCAAAGGTTCTCTTTCCTTCTAGCATCTCTATTTTGTTTAGGAATTCAGAACAGGCCCTGTGTAAACCTGAACTGAGAGAAGACACACACCTCTAATGGGGAAGTTGCTGGGCATTAGGTTAAATCGGGTTCTTCATCTCCAAAGCAACATGCCAGATACTGTTATTGTTATCCGTTATTGGGTAAGGCACAGCTGATAAGAATTTGTGTCTGGAAGTTGGAAAGCATCTTAGGCATCTTTTAGAATATTATATACATTTATTCAGGTTGCTTCTTTTTGGAAGAAAAAAAGTGACTTCTCTTGTTTGATGTGTTACAAAAAAGTATGTATGTTTCATCTTTTCCCTTTATAGATCTGATCATAAATATCATGCACTCAGTTTAGATACCTGTAGCCCCTTCATTACAGACACTGATTTATTGCATTTGATATATTTTAATCACTGAGAATTATGATGAAAAATTTTATCAGGTTGTTCAAGGATGTGAGTATTGTTGGTTTTGTCTCCTTTGTACCTACCTTCCAGTAATTAGTTTTGGCAACACAACTCTAGTTGTGCATCTAGACAACCAGCAGATGAATAGCATTTGCTGGTGTGTGAATCTTGTGGTGGTCCCTGAAAGGGGTATTTTGTTGAAATTTGATTGTATTGGGTCTTTTGTTAATTAACTTATAGGAGACTTAGGAAAACTGCTTTGATATAACTGAAAACAATCAGATATTTTCTCATTGCAATAGCACAATTAAAGTAGTAGGATCATGCAAAATTTTTAGAAGGTAAAGAGGTATTTATCAACAAATTCTTGGTTCCTCGATCGACTAGCTAGAGTATAAATATCTTCCAAATGCTATTTCACAGTGATTAAAAACTTATAATATTAATAATTTACCATGTATCCTAATACACAGTCATGTTTAATTTAAAAAACAATATTTGACTATGTTTTTCTCTTTTTATAAAACAAATGTGTTTTAACAGAAACCAAGCTCACGGAAAATGTACTTATCTGGCTATGGTGTGAGGCTAGCAATTAAGACTACAGAATACAAAGCACTGGATGATACCCAAGTTAAAACTAAGTTTTTGTCTCTGTACATAATTAGAATGAAAAATTGGAGGCTCATATGCTTTTTTAAAGTGTTAATGAATGTATTCGTATATGTGCTCGTTTGAAGATAGAGACAAGTGGGCATGTTCCTCCTTAGTTTGGATTTAATTTTATGTTAAAAGAAATATATTTAACATTACTGTTCCCTAATGTCTTTAAAAATAGGAAATAGTATATAATTTTGCTTATACCCAATAGCTTCCCAACCGTTTTCAGTAACATATTATGTATGTAGAGCACACTGAGTCAATAGAAGAGGATGTTTATGGCGAATAGTGACTGGCCCAGTAACTCAGAATGGCCCTTTCTCTGCCCGGATGCCGTCCCCATAAACCTGTAAGTCACATGTGATGTAAGGTTAGGAAGCTTTGTCTAAAATATTTATTTAGAGTTCGAATGATGGATTTTTAGGTGATGTTTGTCTTGGAAATGGGATGCTAGAGGTCTATGAATTGTTGGCTCTGGTGAGATAGGTTCATCGGCCAACCCACCTATCTAGTGGTGAAAGGAGCCAGATCCCACGCATGGCCCACTGCAGTTTGAACCCCAGTGATGAAAAAACACTCTGGGCATATGTGCATATGTGCTGTAAATCCCAGTAGGAAGGGATTGCAGTGTGACCATGTCCTATTGTGGGGTACTTCTTTCCATGCAACCCAGTTTTGTCTCTTTCCAGTAAGCACACATGCTCTCTATCAATTAAAAACAACAACAACAAAAAATCAAGGCACCAGCATGTGGCACAGTGGTTAAGGTACTGGACTCCCACATGACTGACTACAGTTCAAGTCCCAGACCTGGAGGCTTGTAACTCACCCTGTGCACGTGTACGTGTGTGCCCAGAATTCTAAGAGGAGAATGAAAGAGAGAGTATTGTGGCATGGCCATCCCGCCCTGGTGGGTGATTTCTCGCTTTCTGTCTCTTTCTCTCTAGTGAGCACATGCATCCTATAGCAAAAACTCTCTCTCTCTCTCTCTCAAAAAAAAAAAGAGGTATGTGTATTAAATTTGTGATCTGTGAATCACCATTTGTAGTTATTCTGTTAATTAAATGCATGCTCTAGATGAAGAGACACTCTGGAGGCCTAACTAAACTGAAGAAGTTCTCACAACAGTTATCAAAAAGTTTTTATTACCTAATTCATCTTGAGCTGATTTATACCTGATTCTTGGTTACAAGTTTTTAATTCATTATTTTATAGACACCTAGGTATGGCTTCTTCAGCTTTCTTTTTCTGTTCAGGATATGGTCATAGAGACCCTGCCTTGATCACACTGAACTTTGGTTGCCCTTACTGAATGTGCTTCAATAAAATATGTATTACTGTAATTTAAATGCTTTTCACTAAAGAATTACTGAAAAAGTATATTAGAAATAGCAGTATCAGGGTCAGCAGGGAGTGTGGTAGTGAAGGTGTTGGACTCTCATGTGGCTGACCATGTTTTGAGTCCCAGACCTGGTGGCTTGAAAATCACACTGGCGTAGGGGGCTGGCAGGTGACATGGTGGTTAAGGGCACTGAACTCCCACATGGCCGACTGTGTTTTGAGTCCCAGACCTGGAGAATTAAAATAAATGAATAAATAAATAAGTAAGTAAGTAAAGTTAAATAAAAAATAAAAGAAAATCATGCTGACATGTGTGCTCAAAACCCCAAAGGGAGAATAGAAGAGAAGAGATAGTGGCATGGCCATCTCCCTTGAGGGAATGATTTCTCACTTTCCCTCTCACTGGCTCTCTCTGGCAAGCACACACACCCTATGGCAAAAACTAAAAAAAAAAAGAATAGTATCCTGATTTTAATTTTTCTGCCTAGCTTATGTGTATCTTTACAGTGCTTCATAATTTAGTATCCTACGGTAATGATAGTAATGTAAAAGCATTTCCTTCCTTGCTATCTTTGGAATTACAGAATTTTCTTTAAAAAATCAGGTGATTAGGGACCTGCAGGTCACACTGTGGTTAAAGACATGGCTGATTATGGTTCAAGTCCCAGCCCAGCAGCTTGAAACTCATGCCAGGCACATGTGCGTGTGTGCCCAAAATCCCAGGAAGAGAACAGAGGAGAAGAGACTGTGGCATGGCCGTCAACCCTGGGGGGTGGGTGATTTCTCACTTTCCCTCTCCCTGTCTCTCTGGCAAGTCCATATGCCCTATGGCCAAAACCTTAAGAAGAAAAAAATTAAGTGATAACATTGTATTATCCATTCAGATGTACACTAAGTTCTGTCATCCACCTGTAATCAGAAGGTATCTTTTCTCATTCCAATTGCCATTCTTATAATTCAGTTTTTATTTTTTTTCTCTGCACATGTGCGTCAATTTTCTAACTAGCCATCTCTCTGATCTTCAGTGACTTCGTTCCCTTCACGCCTTAAAGTAGATTAATCAGTCTTTTTTCAAAATGCTTTCAAAGGGAACTTCTTATGATGACTGTCTGACTTTGTGACGCTACTGGTTAAAATCCTTCACAGGTTCACTGTAATCTCCCTCATGAATTCAAGTATTATAGCAGAACAAACAAAACTGTTCACAATCTAAGGTCTTTCTGCTTTATCACTCCTCAGCCCTTTCTCATTTGTATACTCTGGTTCTGCAACACTCAACTACAGCATAATTTTCTGTTCCCTAGATGCCTTCATGCTTTGACTCCATGCTAAGACTTCATGAGCTGTACTGCTTTTATCCTTGAGCATATGCTGTTCCTTCTGCCTATAACCCTCCTCTCTCCTCCTGACTCTTCTCCTTCACGTAAGGCCTGCACATCTTTTAAAACTCATATGCCAGTATTATCTTGGAGATGCCCATTTTCCTTCTGTGTTAGAGGTTGATTTTGCCTTTTCTGTATCTCATGTATTTCTGCACCATTTTTTTACAGAAAAGTTTTGCACACTGTATTAAAATTGTTTATTCATCTCTGTCCTTTTCTAATAGATAGTATCTGTGTCTTTGTGTCTCTCTCACTGGGGTCAATTGCATCAGGCATCATAGTAGGCAGGCAGCAGGTGTTTGCCTGAGGAATGAATGATTCAGAGGAAAAAGAACACTGCATCAAGCACCGGGCTATTCATTTGTAGTCCTAGAGATCCAGAGCTCCCAAAGAGTAAGAAGGGAAAAGTCTAATAATTTCTGGTTATAAAATAAAATTTGACTATGAAATAGGGACCAGCGATGGTGTAATGGTTACATCACTGGACTCCTATATAGTTGACAGAAGTTTGCTTCCCAGACACAGTGGCTTAAAACTCATGCTGGGTAGGTCTGCATGCTTGTAAAGGATCTCAAGAGAAGAGTAGAGAAGGTATTGTGTCATGACCTTCCCCCCGGGAGGGGATTTCTTGCTTTCTGTCTTTCTCTGTCTCTCCAATGAGCGCACATGTCCTATAGCAAAAATCTCTCACCAACAAAAAAAGGAAATTCAAGTCTATGCATATGCATGTATCATTACATTTTTCCATGAAAGAAAGACAAAGTAAAATAATGGCACTTAATTTTATTGTGAGTTTTCCTAATTTTTATTGCATGTTATTTTCTCAGTCTGAATTTTTTTTTATTTTGTTTTCGTCTCTAAAACATAGCTGTTACTGAAACTGCTGTAGAAGATGAAACTGAAGCCCATGAAGTTCAAGGGTTTCTCTTTGGAAAACTAAAGTAGGTATAAATTTAAGTAAAATTGGTATTGCTCTATTTTTTGTTTTTATCTGAATTAATTCAATATGTTGTGTTAGAATATGTTTCACATTTCATTTTTATATACATGTAGGTTTTATTTATTACAAAATAGCACACTGCTAATGTCAAAAAGCTAAAGAAACCAAGAAAGCACAAAATTGAAAAACAAACACCACTAACTCCCCAACTGAGAGAGAACTATTACTGTCATAATGTTTTGGTGTATGTCATTCTAATTTTTCTGTGCATGCTTTTATATCATCAACTAAATACATACATAGCATATTGTTTTGCACCGCAGAACCATACCATGGAACTGCTGTTTTCACGTCTTATAGGGTATTTTATCATTTACCAAAATAGTCCCATGGCATAGGACTTTAAGTTATTTTCCCACTTTTTTTTTTTAGGTTTACTTATTTTTTACTTCCATGAGAGGGTGGGGGAAGGAGGAACCCCTAAGAGGATCTTCTTGTCACAGTCCTCTCCCAGTCTCAGCTGGCCCAGATCGTAGGCATAAACCTGCTTGTACAGAGAGACCTTGGTATGTGAATACAGAACCTTCCCAGGCGGGTTCTGCATCGTGGAGTGCTAAGTTACTGCTGTGCCACCACGTATGACTTGTATTTTCCTACTTCATAGAATTTTTTTGTGCACAAATTTGTGCATATCTTATTTTCCCAAGCACAAATTACAGGGGAAAAAGAATGATCTCAAAATATGTGTACTTATTAAAATCTTTGATACCGATTCCCAATTTTCTGTCATCGAATTTTACTAATATTTAGACTCAGAACACACCATGTGAATGTGTCCATTTCTCAGAACTTTATTAACCACTGGCACTACTGTTTAAATCTTTGTTGATTCAATAGGTGAAATGGTATTTCTTTTTCTCTTAAATTCTAATTTTAATTCACTAGACTTAACCATTTTGTAATCTGTAGTCAAAATCAATCAAATATTGGCAATTTATTATCACAAGGATTACCTTTTTAAAATATATTAGGTTGTCAGAAAAGTCATGACATATTTTTCTATGTTTTTCTATGCAAAAGCATCATGACTTTTCCAACAATCCAGTACTTATTGGCTTTTGAGTTTCTTCTTGAGTGAATTGTTTATTCCTAACATTTGTGAATTTTTTCTTCCTTACCTCCATTTTTATTATTTATAACAGCTCTCTATATAATAATAGTTCTGAACCTTTTGCCATATGTTGAATTATTTAAAGTTTGCATTTTATTTTCATATTAATCTTAAAGATGGAAATTTGTTCATTAATTAGATTTAACTATTCTATTTAGGAAATTGAATTGGGATTTGTTTTCTTTTTTTTTTTATTTATATACAGATTTTTGCTATAGGGGCATATGCACTTACCAAAGATGACAGAAAGCAAGCAATCTCCTCCCAGGGGTGATGGCCACACCCTCAATCCCTTCTCCATTCTCCTCTCAGGATTTTGGGCATGCATGCACACACGTCCAGTGTGAGTTTTAAGCCGCTGGGTCTGGGACTTGAGCCATAGTCTACTACGTGGGAGTCCGGCAGCGTAACCATTATGCCATCTGCTGGTCCTGGGATACCATTTCTAACACTCAGGCTACATCTCTAGAATAATTTTTTTTTAAAAAATTAAAGATTTTGATCCACGTGTTAGGTCACTGTTACATGCAGTGCTCCTTTAGTTTTCTCTTTGGAAAACTAAAGTTAGTCTGAATTTAAATGAAATTAGTATCACTCTGCCCTTCTGTTTTTAAAGGAATCAGGTCAGTATGCAATGTTGGCATTTGTCTTACATTTTTTT